TTTTTAATTCTAATTCATGTTAGTCATTTATTTTAAACGTGAATAAGTTAGATTTAACATACATATATGATAAGAAAGCAAGTACATTAGGCAAAGTGAAATACCATATTCTGATAAGTCTTTTTTTAACTTTCTCACCGCAGCCATAATGGCTCCCTCAAAAACAGTATTCTAGTTTATGTTTTGGGGGAAAGTAGTGATGTTGCTTCAAAAGTGATTGAGGCAAAAATAAATTCCAGATTGAACTACGCAAATAAATTAAGCAAATAGCGAATTCCAGATTGAACTATGCAAGTAAATTGAGGCAATGTGTTCCAAAAATCAAACATTAGAAATGAAGCAGCAAATTTTACTACGCAAGTAAATTAAGCAGATAGCAAGTTCTAGATTGTAATTAGTCCTTTGTTTTAAATAATTTAATATTGAGTAGTGAGAATAAGGCATACTAAACATACTACATGAGAAGAATTCAAGTAAAAAAAGGCCATGACAAAATATCAGATGCTAATGATAAATATTCTCTCAAAAAACACTTTCATGATCTCTATCTATCTCAGTTTTTTGGGAAAAAATATCAATGTGGCTTCAAAAGTGATTAAGGTACAAAAAGTATGGCAAATTCAACGACAAAATGAGAAAAATGTTACAACTTGCAAACATTAGAAACAAAGCAGGAGTTTGGACTAAGCATGTAAAATCAGAAAAAATGATGAAATGATTAAAGAGGAATAGTTATATGATCTATAACAGACGTGGAGGAAGAAAATGCGACTGTATAAAGAACACACAATTCATTACATTGGACAATAAGTTATACCTTTGCAGCGGCATTCGTGTTGGCACTGTTGGGCATTGTGTTTTGCCCAGCACCACGCCTCGCCCTCCAATCTTTCATTGAAGGTCCGCCAAATTTCTTTTTTGTGGCTGAAATTAAGATTGAAAAATTACAACCGAATAAAACAAAACTGAAAAAGTTAATGTGACAAATCCAAACCAAACAAAATTTGGTCCTCATTTGGTATTGACCCCAACTCATTTAAATTAAACTTAACAAATAATTGCAATGAACATGAAATGCCCAAGCAGCAGATCCTGTTATTCCCCAAAGTTTGTCAAAAAAAAAAGAAAGCAGCAGGTTGGTATATTAAAAAAAGGAAAGCAGCAGGTTGGTATATTAGTTAGGGGACTTTCATACTTGAAGAAAATATCAACCAAAGTCTTCATATATTCATTAAATCATTCATTGTGTGTTTTAGAACATAAAATTGGTTAAGCTTGTTTTTGGTCCAATGTTTGTCAAAAACAACAAAGCAGCAGACCTTATTATTTACCAAAGTTTGTCAAAAAAAAGCAAGCAGCAGGCCCTATTACTTCTTAAACTCACTCCTCTTGAAACAAAAGAAATCCTTCTTTTGTCCATGAATGGATCGATTCTCAAACTCACTCCTCTTATATCACTTCCACACTTGCACCTATTTTTTCAGGGAGCTTAAGAGTAACATAGTAGATAGGAGTAACATAAATTTCTTAGTAACCTTCTCTGACATTCTTTTCCCTTTTTAATGTTATCTCTAGCTTTGTAGTTACTGCTTATTTAAGATCAATGCAATAACAATTAACAATAAAACTTTGCTCAAAATTGTCAAGTAATATGATCAAAACAACTTCTCCTCGGAACTGATATAGAAGTCTTCTAGTTTCTTCTAGAATATATTTTTATCGACATGAAATATAGAAGTAACCAACAAAAAAACCTATTGAGTATACAAACTACCCTCGAGATGTTGTATGAAAGAAACTAAGAAATACACAATTCGGATTTCCTTTCAATGAATTTATTGGTTTTTCTCTTCTCAATGAACACTCCCGCGACAATTATGGTTTAAAATCCTATCCCAAGGAGAAGATATCAAGGAAAAAGAACTATACCTAAAAGAAAGATATGCAATTGGATTAAAGTATAAAAACTGCATTTTCACTTCTTCTAATCTTAAAGTTTTTTAATCAAGGTCGAAAGTGAAAGAAAAAATTGCATTTAGTTAACAATAATTAAAATGTTACATAAAAAAACTGGATTTTATAAAAGAAAAAAGTCCATTTTTAACTAAAGATATATATAAACTAAACTAAATTGTATAAGCATGATTTTCACTCTTCAAATTAAACCTCTAGTTCTCGCTGTTTATCATCATTAAAGGACTACCTTAAAGTTTTTATCACCCAATCTACTACGTGTTATTTCTAGGTCAAGTTAAAACCCGTCCGATCCTGAGCTAAGAGTTAAATTTAACATGTACTCCATAATTGATAAGACTTAGAGTTGAAGAGAAAAAGCTAGCAAAGATATATGGAGTCGCAATTTAGACAAATCAGTTTGACTATAAAAATCAACAGACTATACATGTGATTGAACTTTATAACTATATGAAGATAAACCCCTGAGGATTCAAGAGACATAGATATGTGCCCATTGGTGAAACAATGTTTTAGAAAATGGAGAAAATGGTATATGGAAGGCTTAAGATATTTGTTGGGTGGTGTATAAAAATTGTGATGGAAGAACTCACAATCAAATCACAACAGTGAGGTAGCCACTAAATGCAAGTGAATGCCAACTGAGGTAATCATAATCATATCATACCTATGATCCTTCAGATGGGTATGTCTGGTAGAACTTCTTTTCAATAAGCTTCTCTCTTGGCCCGGATGGGTGTTTTTCACTCTGTTGTACCTAATACCACAAAATACATCTCATTCAATACACACCTTGATGACCCCAGTCCCTTGAGCGTCATCTGATCTTTTTATGTGAACATGAGAACATCTATGAGTATATAACAACATTCCAACTTTATAGTGCTGTAAAGATCTAAAATGAATTTTAACAGTAATTCAATCGCAAAAATCTCATGAATCATGAATGTATGTATATTCATATTCATAAAGGACTAATAATACATTAGCTCAGGAAAATGAAAAACAAATCTGCTACCTTTTATTAAATTTTTAGTGAAGGAAAGACTATCATTCTACAATACTTTTCTTCCAAGCAGCCATAGAATAGAAAAAGATACATAACTCTATTGCTTAACCTGATAACAGAATATAATAGGAACCAAGAACAGTAAAACAAAAGACTAATACAGGTCAAAGAAATGTAAAATACAAAATAAAAAATTGAGTTATTCATTCACTTGTAGATTGTAAAATGTAGTCCAGATAAGTGGAACCACCCTCCATCAACTTTATAGTATGTCATAAAAGAGAAACTAACAAAGAAATTGATCAATCAGAAAAGAAACCTGGAAAATAGGACTAATTAAGTGTAGAAGTAAATACGAAACATTGAAGATAGATAGATTAGTGTTTTTTGGTTAAGTAAAATCAAAATTTAACAAAAAAAACAGCAGCCAGTAATATGAATTTGTACCGAACTTATGAATAAAGCTATTCATTTTTTGAAGAAACCTTAGTCGGGCAAGATTTCAAATTTGAAGAGTGGGTCTCTTCCTCATCTCAGAAAATTTGCACCCCTCTATTCGCATATAAGGCTCTATTATTTTCACCCCTCAAAGATTTGATATACAGAATTTAGACGGGAACAGAAAGTAGAGATAATACTACGTACTAACCAATATTGAGAAGTTTGGCGGTAATGAACTCTGCGAGTGTGCTCGTAGAGATGAGCTCTCTGAGTTGATTTGAAATAAATCTGAAATCGTCCAGTTAATTAAGAGAAGATCGTTTGGAAATTAAGAGAAGAGAGCCCATTGGAAATTAAGAGAAGAGAGTCCATTCCAGGTTCTACAGGGGAGAGATAGAAACGAAGAGGTGTAGAAACGTTAGAATACGCCAGAATGTATTCGGAATAGTATAAAGCCAGAAGTTACGCAAATGCCCCCAGATACATGAGCGGGAAAAAACTTAAGTGACTTAATATATATATAGATATCAGCATTTAACGTCACAATATCAAATAGTTCTTACCACTTAATATTTTACTCCTTCCTTTTATGATGATTTCAAGATTTTCTGACAAATATACACGCAAAATGTATATTGATTATTGAGGTAAGAATGGCCATATCGAGATTTAAATAAAATCTAGAAAATAAAATTTCAACAAAAGAAAACAAATATCTACAAAACTATGAATATAAAATTAAATACTCCTTCATAATAAATTTAAATATACATGCATATACTCTAACGAAAAAATACATATATTTGTATATATGTGTGGGTAAAAAAAAATAGACAAGAAGTGAAACAAAGAATGTTTTCATTTAGTTTGAAAATTTTCATGGTTGGTCATTTGATCTCAATTTATTTGCTCTCGTTTGATTTATTTAAATATGATCTGATTATATATACTTTATTGATCTCTTAATTGTTCTTATGTGGCCTCACATGATTTTATATTATACTAGTATGTATTTGTGAAGCCAACTGGACAGACACTTATTTACTTACAAGTTACAACAATTTATTTGATATTTCTTATTTTAGCATTAATAAGGTTCCTTATTTAATTAAGAAAGCTTTAATTACAGACTATATGAGTATGCCTTACATTCGTAGAAGGCATACTCTTATATACCCATCATATATACCCCACCGATTTTGATGGTTAGCTAATAGAGTTTACAAATTATATGTATTTAAGTGGGTATGATTTGAGACTAAGGATGTTTTTACTTGGACTGTAATTTGCCCCAGACCAGACCAGACCAGACCAGACCAAACCAGACCAGTTCAGACCAGACCAGACTTGGATAGTTATAAAAATATAAAGAAACCAGACCTTACAAGACCAGACCAGATCAGACCAGACCAGACCAGCAAATTACAGTCCAAGTAAAAACATCCTAAAATTAGAAATACACAGGCTTTAAGAACATTTGTTAGAGAAGTGGGCTGCAGAGTGGCCCAAACATGCTGGACTGCTGGTTTGAGAACTTTGTTAGAACACGAATATTTCTTCCACAACCTCCGTCCGATCTGAATGTCACTCCAGAAGTTCCTTCAAAACCTCAACACTGTCAAACGATGTCACAATAATCTCCCAAAACCTCACCTTCATCAGGCAGCCAAGATCGGAGACGCCACCATCAACGCAGTCCTTGCCGGCCACCGCTCCACCGCCATCCTCCCCAAGCTAACCCCTACCCTCGTCCACCTTATTACCTCTGACCCACATCTCAAGACCCCGAAGTGCATTGAGTTCTTGAGTTTCCTCCTAAAAAACCAATCTTTAATGTCTTTTGAGCTCAATTTTGATGCCCATTTGACTCTTATCTGCAGGCTGGCCAGGGCCAAAGAGTTTTCACTTGCTGAGGGCATTCTGGGTTCTATCTCAAATCTTAAAAGCTTCAGGTATACCATTTTAGCTTCTTTCATTGAGAACCACGCTGTTTCTTTGAGAATATCTTCGAAAGTGTTCAATTGGTTGCTTAAAGCATACTCCGATAATCAGGAATTTGAAAAGGCCTCTGAGATATTTGATCATATGGTCGTTAATGGTATAAAGATCAATGAGAGGACTTGTACTATTCATTTGATTGATCTTATGAAATATGATCAATGCGGATTAGGACTGAAATTCTTTAATCAGATGGTCAAATCAGGTATTCAAATTTCTGTGTTTTCTTTGACTGTGCTGGTGGATGGGTTGTGTAAGTTTGGGGAAGTAAAAAGGGCTAGAGAGCTCGTGGAAGAGATGGTTAGTAATAATAAAGGAATAAAACCAAATATTATAACCTTTAACACACTTATTGAAGCCTGTACTAACAGATGGAATTTTGAAGAACTTAATAATGTGTTGGCAATCATGAAGCAAGAAGGTGTAGATTTTACGGTTGACACTTTTAGATTTTTGATTTATGGGTATTCAAGCAATGGGAGGATGAGAGAAGCAGAGAGAATAATCATGGAGATGCATGAAAAGGGTTATAAGGTGGGCACCCATTTCTATAATTTAATCATGAGTGGGCATTGCAGATCAGGTGAATTAGAAAAAGCATTTTCTTTAGTTTCTGAGATGAATGAAAGGCATGTTTGGTTAGACATGGATACATATTGGAGTTTGTTTAGTGGACTTTGTAAGGTTGGCCAGTTTGAAGCGGCCAATGAACTTGTCAATCTGATGCAGAGAAAAGGATTTGAGTTGGACCAAGTTATTTTTGAGACCTTAATTGAATGTTATTTGGATGAGGGGGTAATGGAGGAAGCAGTTAGTATCTTAAGTTTGATGGAAGTGAAAGGATTTTTCCCTGATTTGGCCGTGTATGAGAAGGTAATTTGTGCATTGTTCAAGCTGGGCCGAACTGAAGAGGCAAAGTCGAGACTAGCAGTTCTAATCAAGAGGGGATCTCCAAAGAGGAGTTGAGAAACTCTATTCCATTTTTTTACTTAGAAAGAAACTTAGTTCCACAAGAATCTGTTTCCTTTAATGAGAGAAAACATCAGCTCTTGGAGTGATATAAATGGTGAAAATGTTTGCATAAACATTGTCAATCAAGTTGCCTAGAAAGGTAAAATATTGGGAAAAGGTGCAAATAAGCCCTCGAACTAACTGAAAAAGTGCAAATAAGCCCTTTTATAGGAAGCTCTGTCTGACCATCGTCATTTGGGGCGGTTCCAGGTGGAATTTTTTTATGAATTTTTTTTAGGATCTTCTTCACTAAGTCTAGTTTACCCATACCAAATTTTTGCTAAAAATTTAATCGGGAAGGAAGCCAAATGATTATCTGAATTATACTGCGATGTTTAACTGTTCAGTTATCTTCAAAATTTATTTGACTGCCTTTCCAGTTGAACTTTTAGCTGAAATTTGGTATGGGTAAACTAAACTTAATGAAAAAGATGCTCAAAAATTTTCATCAAAAAATTTCACTAGGAACCGCTTCAAATGGCGACGACCGGACAAAGCTTCCTATAAAAGGGCTTATTTGCACTTTCTTTATTAGTTCGAGGGCTTATTTGCCCCTTTTCCCTAAAATATTTGCAGAATGTTGCACTTGGTTTATGAGTCATGGAATGAAGAGGTTAAAAGAATCTGACCAGTTTCTGAAACAAAACATCTGCCATGGATTTAGATTTGGTATCAGCTAGCTACAAATTTTGGGATTCACGGGATGCCCTACGATATGTGATTGCTGAAATGAAATTTGTCACTAACAGTTTCTGGTATCAAAAGAGATCTTTGCCAATGGACACGAAAGAAAATATCATGTTTTAGTTAAAATCACTAGGAGACTAGTTGTGGGAGGATGGGATTAAGGCTAACTTCATGAAACCACATAGGAAGGAATGACTTTGATGGGGATGAAGAACCGGTAGAAGGATATTATAAAAGTGATGAAATAATCCAAGAGACCAAGAGGCTGACATCCCAAGTAGTTCAAGAATGCTTTTATAGCTTGCCTCATCTGTGGGATGAGCAAACATTTTGAATATTTCTCACTAGGTTGTCGCAATGGATGTCAAAGAGCTGTGGGCCTAAGCGATACTTGGGCAACAAGTAGTTTAGTAGTCAGTATGCAATGCTTGAATGTGGTATAAAATAGTTCAATATCCATTCTAATGTACTACGTATTAGTGTATAATGTTAATACCCCTCCCAACCTAGAAAGACTCACCATCGTTGGGTTTTTTTATCAATGATGTTGAAATTTGACCAACTATACACTGTATTTTTATACAAGATTATTTATAGTATGAATATGATGCACAAGTGTTCTTGGTTAAATTTACTAATTTACTTACGTACAAGATTTATTCTAGCACTACTGATAAAAAGAGAACCAGTTCCTTTTTTTGTATAGGGTGGAAAAGTATTTTTTAGCAAAAGGCAATGACTTGATTCTTGTGACTGCTATCCCACGGAACCATATATTGAAAACATCAAGGAAAATATGAACTACACCAAAAAAGAGAACCAGAATACTTAGGGGACTGCATTGAGGTTTTTCTTTCTCGGATTTGATTTCGCTATTTCGGTTGGGAAACATGTCAAATTAGAGGGTCAAAGTTGATTTGGACAGAAAACGAACTAGGTGTAAATGTGCAGTCTGTCTAAGCAACGCCATGACAATCAAATTGTCAATCATTTTGCACATTTAAGGATTAAAAAAAAAGTATTTGACGGGTGGTAAAATCTAAAAACGCATCACAATCATGCTATCAAACACGTTCCGTCACATATTTAGGTCATGAATGTTGCATTTGTGTGTTTGAGAAAACTTTCAAATAGACCCTCATACTTTGACCAATTCGTCAATTAAGCCCCCGTACTTATTTATCACTCAATTAAACACCTGAACTCTTAAAAAGTGTTCAATTAGGCTAATTAGCAGGTAACCAACCAGTTTCCCGGTTAGCTACCTGCGTGGCAGTCCACGTGGCATACTACATGGTAATTATTTTATTTTTCTTTTTGTTTTTATCTTCCTTTTCTTTTGCTTTCGTCCATCTTCATTCCTTCTAACCTATAGGAAGCACTGAAATCGGATAGTCCCCAAATCTGCGAACTAGAAGAGAACAGTGCCCTCTTTCTGGAAATCTTCAAATCAAGTCTTCAGACTGGTATTAAAACAACCGTCTAGTTGAGACAGTCCCAGATGATGCCTTGATTTGAATTTAATCGAGAGAATCCAAAGAAATCCGGTAAATAGAAGCCGCCGCCGCCGGAGAGAACAACTGAGCCGTGCCGTACTGTGTCGCCGGAAGAGGGAGAGGAAATATAACGTCACCGGTAAATATAAGCACGCCGGACGTGCCGCTGCTGACCGACGAATTCAGTGAACAGTGATATCTGCGACCTGTTGTTATCTTCGATTTCTCTCCAAACTAATCAAAGAATAAGATGAAGAGGTGAAATAAGAACAACAAACAAGAAGAAATTCAAGGTTGCAGGCTTACCATCGGGGAAGGAAGAGAACGAAATGAAAGAAAGAAGAGGAAAAGAAAAAAGAGAAAAAGAAATAAAAGGAAAAAAAGGAAAATGACATGTGTCCACCACGTGGACTGCCACGCGGGTAGCTAACCGGGAAACTGGTTGGTTACCTGCTAATTAGCCTAATTGAACACTTTTTAAGAGTTCGGGTGTTTAATTGGGTGATAAATAAGTACGAGGACTTAATTGAGGAATTGGCCAAAGTACAAGGGCTTATTTGAGAGTTTTCTCTGTGTGTTTTGATGAAATCAACTCATATTGGTTTTATTTTTGTCAATTTGAGCCTTTGAGGTGTGCAGTTTGTAGCTTATTTAAAGTTAACAGGTTTTGACTTTTGAGTACCCTACTTGGAATTCCTTGCGTCAGTATCAGTCGGAGGTGTTAATAAATAGAATGTAAGATATACTCTGTTAATAGTATATTATTGAGCCCAACCTTAGTCCTAAACCAAGGCAGTCGGTTACGTGTGCGAATAGAACATCCTTTCTACGGCTGTTCAACAAATTATTCATTTACACAAGTTAAAAAGAGAAACAAAATGGAAAAGGCAGACAGTCAGACAAAGGAAAAAAAACAGAGACCTCCTCAAGACTTCATACACCACACAGATGGTTTCCCATGGATGGAATGATGGGAGAACATTTTCCAGCTATGTCATTGCACAAATTTGCAGCTACCTTCTCATTTCTCTCTCGAAGTGGTAATTCCAAAAGTGTACTGCCTTTATGTCCCGAGAAAAGATCAAACTTTTGTAGGTAGCTTCCATCAAAGCTGCCATTAACTTCCCCCGACATCGTTTTCCCTGAAATAGGTACTAGCTTATGAGTCAAGCCAAACCTATCACAAGATTCTTCATCCTCAACAGAGTAGTAACCATTCTGTTCTTGACCATCCAACAGAGCAAGATCGTCATATTCCTCATCTGATTTCGTTGATTCCTCATCCACCGATCCCTCCATCTATAAAAAGAGCATGAACAACGTTAGCGGCAAGAGTCAGTTTAGTAACCTATTTTTGGCATATCAGTTTTTGGACAGAATTTCTATCTAAAACATCCCCATTTTGACAGTATCAGCTGAACCAAAGCAAAGTAGTACATAATACACTTCTAAAGATATTGATTCCTTTGCTTATTACTCTGTATGCAACACATTTTTAAAATGTTCCTGGTTTATCCTCTGTCATTTTGGTCACAGCAGAGGCACTTTAGTCGAATTCTCTTACTATCAAATCATCAAATGGTTCCAGTTATGACAAAAATAAAAAATAAAAACAGCACAACTTTGTAAATCAACAAATCATAAATATTAATCCATCTCAAAATTAACTCTCTACTTGCTTTTGGCAGTTGGCACAGAATTTACGATACTAAAGTTGCATGCTTGAAATTCAGTTAGAAACAAAAAACTAAGGGCCAGTTTACTTATTTCTCCAGCTTTCTATTTTTGTTTCCTGTTTTACATTCTCTAATTTTCTGTTTCCATTTTCCAAATCAGAACACATGTTGGAAGCATTAACACGCTCGACGCACTATAGCACCGAGTATTTCTGTTTTGGAAAACAAGAAAAAGTGACTTCTACAACTTAAGAAGAAAAGCAGAGACATGTCTCGTTTTTTCAATTTTAGAGAATAAGCCTGTAAACACATTTGCCAGTTTTCCTTCCTCCTGTTTTCTCCGTTTTATACTTTTTTGAAAAAACCGAAAATATTCTTCTTAGTAATCATTCAAGTTAAACATTCATTCAATCCTTCAAGGAAAATAGATACTTTATTTAGGGACAACCCAAAGGGGCTAGTTACAAGTTAAGCAAATGGAAAAGAATTCCATATAATATGGCGTCAAATAAGACAAATGCATACCTCTTCATGAATATGCTTTGAATCCTTGTTAAAATCCTCATCACTATCTATTTCAGGCATTTCATCAAACTCTTCATCGCTACCATTGACAAATTGTTGCTCTTCGAGCTAATGAATGAAAACACACATAAGTCAGTGAGATTGGGGAAAAAATTAAAATGGTAAGACAGCACATTAAATCACAACTAGAAACACAAAAAAAACAGCATATTCATTTTGAAGATAGAAATCAACTCAAACGCACCTCCTTAGAAGGTCCGTCATAGAACCTTGGTGAACTGCAGCAAGACGAATGATACCTACTGCCATTGTCAGTCAGCTCCCCTTTCGATCCATCTAAACTATTAGCACGGCTTGTACAACCAGTCTCGTTTGGCCAAGCACTTATCCCTAAGTAACCAAACTGCAGATTGACCGGTTCAGCCTTCTGAACATGTAACGGTCCATAGTCCATAAATATATTGTCATTGGTATCCAATGAGTATATTGGCCAAGCCTTTGCTACCGACCCGTCATAATTGACAAGAGCCATCATATGCCTAGAAGAACCATTTCTCTGAAGCAGTTTAAGCACACCCTTTGAGCTCCAGGAATTTGCAGCACGCTGATTTCTGTATTCCTCATTAATAACAGAAACTGTGTTTGTGGAAGGATCATAAAGCTTCTCCCCTGCCTCACGCCTCCTTAAGCAACTGAATGCTGTTGCATGGATCGATGCTACACTTCTATCAACATTAGTGTTGTTCACTTTTGGCACCAAATGCTTGTCAGCACAATTGCAGAGATATTCTTGTATTGTCCTGATGTTACGTATATATTTGACATATTTGTTTTTGGCTGGGTCCAGCGTCATGTATTTCGCACGAACTGCAAATCTTTCCAAGTGCTTTTCTTCATTTGCGATGTAAATCATGAAAGGTAGGATTGAAGGGTGTTTTTTCATTAGCCCCATCTGCATGTTAAAGCTGAATTGCAATCAAATCCAGAAGATGAAAAAAAGTAGTCATGTCGGATTGTCGGATTAAGGTACAACTTTTCAATTTTCAAAAGGTACAACTCTTAAAAGTCACGGAATCAGGCTTTCAATTTTGGATTATTAACTAAATATATTCCCAACTATCATCAAATTCACAAATCTATCCTATACTTTCACTTTTATTAGAAAAAGATTCAAACTTTAACTTTTCTCACAATTACAGTTTCAATGGATGAATTAGTAAAAATTAAGAAGAAAATCATATTTATATTTCATATTTTTTCACTTCTTTCTAATTTTAAGTTTATATACTTGTAGTCTTGTATTGCTTATATCTTATAGGTAGTGATAAAAATGTGTAATTTTGAAAAAACAAAAAAGAAAAGCATAATTGTTGAAAAGATGAACTCTAAGTCTTTTTTTTAAGTGAAAGAATAGGATAGATTTGTGAATTTGATGATAGTTTGGAATAAAATAAGCTAATAATCCTTCAATTTTTTATACTCCGTAGTTTATTCCTGATTTACCTAAGTTTGCCAGATTGAACATGTTTGTAACATGGTTTGACAATTCACATATCACATGAAAAATTATCCCATATAATGAGCTAGGGCTCTGTGGGGGAGGCAAAAAGAGTTTTCCAAACAAGACGTTTTGGGACGGAGGTAGTAGCAAATTCTTACCACAAAATTAAGGCTCAAATGAACACCCTCCACAATAACCGATTCTTTACGCTCTTCCCATGCAGTAATTAATCTATCAAGACTTTCGATAACCATCTCACTCTGAGCCTTAAATCCTTCAATTGCCATTTGTTTCGGGCTAATAAAATTGATGGGATTAGCCGCATGCTTTTCTAGTGTCTGGATAGAATAGCCTAACTTCTTTGCTTTCCTTTTGGCCTTTGATTCAGCAACTGCTAGTGGATCTAAATGTTCCCCAGCATGGTAAGTTGAA